CTTAAAGAAGAAGTTACAGGTCTGTGAGAGCCAGACATTCTTGTTTGTCTGTAGGTGAACCAAATACTTATTTTCCACCATTAATTTGCAAATAAATTACTTTAAAAATCAGACAATGTGTATTTTCTGGTATTTTTTGTCTTCTCATTTTGTCTCTCATAGTTGAGGTATACCTAGGATGAAAATGACAGGCCTCTCTCATCTTTTAAGTGGGAGAACTTGCACAATTGGTGGCTGACTAAATACTTTTTCCCCCACTGTATATCGTACCTGCAGGTCATTTTGAGGGTTCCAGTCAGAGTCTAATATCACACAGGTGTCCGCAGCAGTGAGGTTCACAAGCTCTTGATCAGGTGTTTGATGTGGGCTGGCATGACCCTTTCTGCAGCGATAAATAAAGAAAACAAAGAAGACATTATTAATAATAGTAATGATGGTAACAACAATAATATTAGTATAACTATTTATATAGCACTTAAACAATAATTGCAAAGTGATTTCTCACAACAAAAATAAAGAACAAAACAATATCAACAATAAAAAAACTAATTATTATAGGAATGTTAAGATACAAAGAAATGATAAACATTCTAAGAGGCCGACTACAAAAGGGAGACTCAATGGCTCTTGATGACATCAATGAGCAGTCCCAAAATATGCTGCTGTATAAAAAGAAATAGGTCCAGATTTCTTCTATTTAGTGTTGGATGATTTGTTGTATTGATTGCTGATGGATGTTAAGATATGTTTTACAATTATAACTTATTGTAATTGGAATCAAAAAGTTTAAAATCGTAGTTTTAATAAAATGACTAGCAATATAGGATTTATTCAACAGTGGTAAAGCATTAAGTTGCTAAATTAACGTACACTGAACTGTAAAACTTACCACTATTTAGGAAAGGACCTGATCAGAAGGATTGACTAGTAAGACAGCAAAGAGGTGGAGGAGGTCTCTGTCAAGTACCATTGGTAGATGTTACACCTGAAAAAAAGATAAGGAAATAAGACAACACAGGAGGACAAACATCCTCTTAAGTAAAAGACGAAATCATGTCAAGCTTTACATCTTTCAGTCTTTACAATGCACTGTTGGAAATTACATTCCAAAGGCTAAATTCAAACTCAATACCATAAATAACTGGGTAGGCCTACCAAAGTGCTTTACCTGATAGAACACGTTCCACACGGAGCAGCAACCATCCGGCTGGGCCTTTTGCTGCATATCATCTCCTCCCTCTCCACTGTTTCCAGTAGATATCTACTGCCTCTGTCCAATAAAACTGAAATGCCCCAAAACAATCATATTTAAAAAGTTAAAACAATAACTTGCTTTTGGCATTCAAATGTATTAGAATCTCACCTTTTTCCTGGATGTCAGGAAAGCGTTCCCTTCAAGTCCGCAACCAGTCATAGGAGTTCAAATGCAAAGCCTGAACGATGACAAGAGCGAGACTTACATTTTACAAGATAAGTAATACCATATCTTCTCTCGGTTTATCCGCAATAACCCAGTTTATTTGTGTTTTCCCATTCCAAATACTGTCGCCTTGCATTACCTTAGTTTCTACTGGCCGTCCCGAGGGTTATTTATGTGCTCTTCTCTATGTGCTTGCTCCTTCCTCCTGCCACCGCACGCTCAAAGAGCAGCAAAGGACTTAACATTCAGGCCCTCCAGGCATTTGGTCCTGGAGATATGTGGAAGAATATTGTTTCTTAAATGTATTTTCCATCTGTTTTTATTTCATTCCTTAGGAGATGGGATTGAACAGAGGCTCAACATTTAAGCCCGGAGGCATTTTTAAGGATTGTTTTCAGATATTGGATGGATATTGTGGTCTTTTTTCTTTGTTTGGGACGATGCTCTTCTGGCATCCTACCCTCTGGTCCTTGTGTAATGGAATAACAGCAGTCATAGTCAATATAGCCTGTCTTGTAGGCCAGTAGCAGCTGCTTCTCTTCCAAATAGCCTTTCAGGACTTGTGTTTGTGAACGCTTTGTATTAAACTCAACTTGTATTGTTTGTTTCACTGGTGTCGTGAAGTTTCTTTGGTCCTGCAGGGTTGGGAATAAAAAAAGAGAAAAATCAGGCTGATACCGTACACATAATTCACCAACACAGTGTTGTGCACATCCAAATGATAAAGGTTTCTAATAAATTATTTATTTCATTAAAAAAGGTGGAAGAAGATCTTTTACTTCTGCTGCAACTCTTACTACTATTTGTAAATCCAGGCTGAAGACTTTTCTTTTTGCGGCTGCTTTTCATATCTTACACATCACTTTTATTCATAATAATAATAATAATACAAAATAATAAATGTTCATGCAGCAGGTGCAGCTCAAAGTCCTTTACAAAATGGCACACATTACAAATTAAAACAAAGTATGAGAAATTCCCCTCAGATCAGATAGTCATGTACTGTATCTTATACCTGTTTTTCTATATTAGCTTGTCTTATGTCTATTTTATTCTCTTTAATTAGTAATGACTGTTATAATGTGTTTCCGCTGCACTTTTTCTTTATGCTCTTAATGTTTTTCTTTTTTGTAAAGCACTTTGAATTTCCTTTTGTTAAAAGGTGCTATATAAATAAACTTGCCTCACCTCAAGCGAAAGTAGAAATACTACATTGTAAAAATACTCTGTTACAAACTAAATTCATTCAAAATCTTACAAGTATTGGCATCAAAATGTACTCAAAGCTGCCCATTTGGATCCTAAAAATGTCGGATTCAGCATCTGCAATTATTCTTTAAACCATTTCAAAAATGTCCAAATCAGTCAAGCCATATCTGAACCATTGTACATATTTGTTATAATGCTAATTTATGGTAATTAACACAACTTATGCTAATGTGAGCATTGCCCAACATGTGTAAGACAGTTAGCATCTGGCAGTTTCTATGTGCTGGGGGACTCGTACTATTCTTTTCTAACACAAAACTTTGGGGTACTCAACATTTCAGGGTTTACTATGCTGGCAAGTAGACTTAGTGTGTGTTCATGGAGAAAAAAGAATGTCAAACAAATATATAGTACCACAACCAGCCTGTCCTCCTACAAAAAACGACCAAATAGGTAGATTGTTTAAGCAGTGTTGATCACGATATTACGACCCATAGCCACGTAGCTTTCCCCCTATTCATTTCTAGCAGCAGTTTATTACGACCTTTTGTCACGTTTTGTCACGATCGTAATCCCGTGAACTTTAACCTTGCGCATCAATAAAAGTGCGACGAGCCAAGAAGATGAAGATGAAGATGAAGAAGAAGATGAAGAAGAAGAAGAATTGTTAAAGAGCGTCAGAGCTTTACAAGTGGTAAATCTGATTTCTGTATTTCATTTGATTTGTTTACGCTTTTAATTAATCCTGTCGTTTTTCTACTTATCATGTTTAACCACGATATTTCAGTTTTACGTTTTAGGGCTGGCCTGTGGCATAGGCAGTATAGGCGAATGCTTGTTGTTAGCAATAGCATGGCTGTAAAGGTTAGCGCTTAGCTTAGCGCTTAGCTTATATGCATTAACGGATATGTATTGCAATATAAGAAGGTTCGTCTACAACAAGTTGGAGGGAGAGTTTTCTCCTTCGCACAAAAGGAGCTAAAATCTTGCCTAAAAACAAAACCCTTGGTAGCACGTGACATAACACATAACAATGGCAAAAGTATGTATATTCAGCTAACCAGACCAGGACATGATATGACCGTAAACAATGCGAAAGGAAATGGCATTTTAATAATAATAATAATAATAGTTGACATTTACATGGCGCTTTTCATAATGCACACACTTTTTTTTTCTTCTAAATGTCACCTAACATGTTGCATTAATGATAGTTAGGGTAAGTTCAACACTTGAATATCATCAGGTCATAGTTGTTTTACTACTTTAAACATTCGCTAATTCAACTTAAGTTTTGTGAAAGCATCACATCTAGTTAAAAAGAGAAATATATTTCCCTGTAATTACTGATTTACCTGGGACTTGATTGATTTTGGTGCCTGTAGTTTTATTTTGGCAAATGCTTATTTATGAAGCAACAATTAAATTACATGGTAGCACAGCTAATCTGAGTTCATCTGTTTGTTTTTTTTCAGGTCATCTATCAATTCAATTATTTGAAGTAGCCTATTATCATAAAAAAATCAACGGTTCTTTTCAGAGCCATATTCCTCTTCCTACTCTCTTTCACCCCTCTCGTTTTCTTGTCTTTTTTTTGTTTTTCTCCCTCCCTGTATGTCAGTTCATCCTTTGTTTGTTGTTGCCCTTTTTATCCTCACTTAAAAATGGCATCCAAGCAACTGAATGAATGGCTAGAGATAGGGAATGCCCTCGCAGATGAGTTGGCAAATAAGGCAAGTACAACATTATCCAAATATGTATTATAACATTTACTCAAATGATAAAAGACACACACATTACAAAGATGTGTGTGCAACAATTAAGGGAAATATATAATCTCTTTTATATATTTATATATTAAGATACCAAAGAAACCAAAGAAACCAAAGATACAGAAGATACCAAAGAAAATAACGCAAGGATCAAATGTTTCCTGGAGGAAGAGGGACCTGGATGGGAACATTATAGCCCAACATTGGAATAAGAATCGATCTGGTCTGTAAAATATAATCTAGTTCTAGTGTTTCATTAAGTTTTAATGTCGTTGGTCGGTCCTCAATAATGTTTCCCATATCATCGTACTTTGTTTTATGCAGTTAAACCTTCCAGCTCTCAGGAGTCCCCAGAGGTCGAGGAGACACATGAGATTCCTCTACAGGTCCCAAGTCTTGGTATGCACAATGAATTCTTAAATTATCCTTCAACTTGAAATGTAGGTCATTGTTTGTAGTATGTAATAGCTTTGTTCATGATACATTGTAAAGTGAAAAGCCATGTATGGAATATCTTTTTTTCAAGATTTTTGAATACCAAACTTTTAATTAAACAAATGAATACCATTCTTGTTTCCAGACAGGCAGAATCTGTAGCGATACCTTCCACAGAGTCTTTCGGGAGTTTGCCTTCTGTAATTACAGACAAGAAGATCTGTGCCTGGTGGAGCCCTTTAAATGCCCAGGATGCACACCTGACATGCTGGCTATTGCTGTAGATGGCAATAGAAAGCATTATCGCTTCAAGAAGTCCAGAGGGTCAGTGAAATAATATTCTCATTTTAGTTGTTGTTTTATTGACTAAGCTGAATGTCTTTGCTGAAATGTTTAACTTTCCCCAACTCTGCAATTTCTTTTTCCAAAGTTTGTAGACCATCAGAAAACAATAGTTGGTTTGAAATTACACATAATTATATAAATCCAATTCATAAACATTATTGTATATGACGCCTGTAAAGTTAACTCAACTTTAAAATGTTAAATGGTTGACGTTAGTTGGATATGTTGGAGCTAAGAACCAGTTTTGGATATAATCGCTTCATGAAAAATGTATTAAATTGCCCAGGAACCTTTTTCTATGCCTTCCTCTGCCCTATTCCATGCCCATCAATATAAAGGATGTACTTTTATTTTTACCTTTTTACAAGAAGTCAGTAAACTTTTCACTAATGTTAAATAATGGTGACAAAAGACTTTACACAGAATTACAGATCAAATTCACAAAGACCTTTTCCACATTTATGAAAATGTTATGGCAAAAGCAAATTGGCCACATTAAATAGAGGACACAATCAAACTTATGTATGTATGATAATGTTGCTTACAATTTCTTTCTCG